AAAATTAATGACCAAAATATATATAAACGTAATTCAGTGACTCTTCGATGTAATTTATCCTATATATATATAATAGAACGACTAAATTGAATTATAATATAAAATTATAGTATATTTTAAAAAAGAACAATGCTGGGTTTTCAAGGCAATTTAGGTGACTATAAATAAAGGCTCGTCAGTCATTCTCATCCTTCACCTCAAAATCGTTTCCCTGTTCTCCTTCTTCACCCAAATCTTGTTTCTTTCTTTCCCCTTTGATCTAACAACTCAAGACCCACTACGGTAATTTCGTCTTTTCTTCCCTTTTCGGCTTCGATTTTGCACTTGACAACTTTCTTCCTTTCGGGTCTATAGTTTTGACCCCATTGTGTTCCTTTTTGGATTTGTTAGTTGGTGGATCTGTTTTTTTTTTATCAGATCTCTAAGATAAATGACTTTACTTGAAGTTTTAGTTTAATTTTTTAAAAGATGAATAGTAAATTTGACTGATTGTTTTTGGTCGGTTTACATGTCGGATCTCTGATGTTTTAATTCCCTGTTTTTCATTTTGGAAACCATAGATCTGATTTCTATCAGTAGTTTCATCGATGTTTGTCTTGTTTTGTTTTACTTAGAAATGGATACAATTATTTTATTGCTGCCGACATCATTATTTGCTAATTCCGATGTTTAATTAGTAGTATCTTAGGGAGCTGTTCTTTAAACACTCCATGATTTGAGAAGAAATTGGGTGTGTTTTTTTTAATGTTTGTAGGATAATCGAAAATGGTGAAGATTTGTTGTATTGGTGCTGGTTATGTTGGTGGGCCGACGATGGCCGTTATTGCATTGAAATGCCCTGAAATTGAAGTGGCCGTTGTCGATATATCTGTCTCGAGAATTGCTGCCTGGAACAGTGATGTTCTTCCGATATACGAGCCCGGACTCGACGAGGTGGTTAAGAAGTGCGGGGGGAAGAATCTGTTCTTTAGCACCGATGTCGAGAAGCATGTTTCGGAGGCTGATATCGTGTTTGTTTCGGTTAACACCCCGACGAAAACGCAAGGTCTCGGAGCTGGGAAAGCTGCTGATCTGACTTACTGGGAGAGTGCTGCTCGTATGATTGCCGATGTATCGAAATCTAACAAGATCGTGGTCGAGAAATCGACTGTTCCTGTTAAAACAGCAGAGGCGATTGAGAAAATTTTGAACCACAATAGCAAAGGCATTGATTTTCAGATTCTCTCGAACCCGGAATTCCTTGCCGAGGGAACTGCGATTCAGGACCTTTTCAATCCTGATCGGGTTCTTATAGGAGGCAGGGAGACATCTGAAGGTCAAAAGGCAATTGAAGCATTGAGGGATGTGTATGCGCATTGGGTCCCTGTGGAGCGGATCATATGCACCAACCTCTGGTCTGCCGAGTTATCAAAGCTTGCTGCCAATGCTTTCTTGGCACAAAGAATCTCTTCGGTTAATGCTATGTCCGCGTTGTGTGAGGCAACTGGTGCTGATGTGAGTCAAGTGTCGCATGCTGTTGGGAAAGACACGAGGATCGGACCCAAGTTCTTGAATGCGAGTGTTGGTTTCGGTGGATCGTGTTTCCAAAAGGATATTCTGAATTTGGTCTATATCTGTGAATGCAATGGCCTTCCCGAGGTTGCCAATTACTGGAAACAAGTCATTAAGATCAACGACTACCAGAAAACTCGGTTTGTAAACCGGATTGTTTCTTCAATGTTTAACACCGTTTCAGGGAAGAAGATTGCCATTCTCGGGTTCGCTTTCAAGAAGGATACCGGTGACACTCGTGAGACCCCAGCAATCGACGTGTGCAAAGGGCTGTTGGGTGACAAGGCTCTACTGAGCATCTACGACCCTCAAGTCAACGAGGAGCAGATTCAGAGGGATCTTGCAATGAAGAAGTTCGATTGGGACCATCCGGTTCACCTCCAGCCGGTGAGCCCTACTTCCATCAAGCAAGTCAACGTCGTTTGGGATGCCTATGCAGCGACAAAGGACGCTCACGGGGTTTGCGTTCTGACGGAATGGGACGAGTTTAAAACCCTCGATTACCAAAGGATTTACGACAACATGAGGAAGCCTGCATTCATCTTCGATGGTCGGAACGTCGTGGATGAAGCTAAGCTGAGGGAAATCGGGTTCATCGTCTACTCCATCGGCAAGCCATTGGATCAATGGCTTAAGGACATGCCGGCCGTGGCATAGACCATTCTCAAAAGAGGCGCATAAAACCGATTATACAAATTTCATTTGCACCACATTTTTATTTGTTATAGTTCTAAGATTCTGTTTGGAGTTCTATTGAGTTATTACATGACATGTGTCTTTAGTCCTTAGAATATGTCCGATTTTATTGTTGTTTTATTAAAATAAAACCTGTACTAGTCAACTATATGCCGCTTATCTTATGCATGAATCATGTTCATGGTTTCATCAAAAAAATAATCATGTTCATGGTGATGCATGCTTATTTGAAAACTAAGTGCTTAAAAATATAATTTTTTTAAAATTACCTAAGCATGACAATTATTTTTAAAATTATATATGAGCATGACAAATTATGAAGAACGGAGATGACAAAAGAGTATCGTTTCAAGTACCGATACGTTTTGGGCATGAGGACGGTCGGAGTATGTATCGGGAACGTGTCACGGTGGTAGGGTACGACTGATCAAATTCTGGGACAGTTAGAGCTTATATGGGGACGTTTCGTGAACTTTTTCAGAGTAATTACCACCTACAAGATTTGCTCGGGTGGAGAAGAGGAAACCACTAGACGAAGGCAGAGGAGGAGCCGTTGGGACCCTCCTTCGGATTCGAACGAAAAACAGAACGGGAATGGTGAGACGGGCAGTGGGAACAAGAAGAGGAAGTCCTGATGGGCAGATGATGAGCCTAAGCCGATGATTCAGCTCCCTGTTTCTCTGAAAAGGAAGAAAAGAAACAAAATGAAGAAGTCGCGGGTGGAGAAAGTATGATTTATAATTTTTGGTATAATTTCTAGTTGATCCATGATCTTTCTAAGCATTTCGAATTTGGAAACATTTTTTAGTATTTTTCAAATTGGGCACTAAAATTAATTTAGGGGTTTGGAAAATTTCTCAAATGTTAGGATTTTAATTAGAGTTAAATTAGGGTGTTACACCAATTTTTCTATGAAGTATTGAATTTGTTTATGATTTTTATATCTATTTATAATTTTAAAATATATATATATATCGTACTCTTGTTATCCCGTACCCTGTAATTTTTTGAAATTACCATTTTCCGTCCCTGTCCCGTATCTGTATACGTGCAACATAGATGACACGTGTCATTTAACGGCGGAATTTAACGTCCATTACGATCGAGACACCTGAAAGTGTAACATTAGAAACGTTAGACACCTAGATTGACCGAAAAAGTTTAGGTACCCAAATGAGAAATACGGTAAATTTGGACACTAATTTTTGTATTAAGTATTTTCTTTATTTCAGGTTTCTTTTTCATGGTTAAATTAAACATTTAGTATTTGAATTTGGTAACTTTTCACCATTTGATTCTTAGATCTTTTATAATATCAGTCCTAAATATTTTTTAGATCATGTTAATATTGGTATGACATTTTAAGATCGTATTAGTGGATATAATTTTACTATTTTATACTATTATAAAGATTATAAATAAACAATAATTCAAGAATTGATTATGGACTAAGTCGAAATAAAAATATTAAATTTAAATATTAAATATTTTTTATTTAAAGATAAAAATGAGAGGATAAAACAAACAAACGCACACATGGTGAGCAACCAAAATGGCAAAATGTAACATCTTGACTTATGCATATGATCATCCATCCCTTTTAGTGGGAGTAGGGGTGTATTCGGTTTGGTTCGGTTCGGTTTTTTACCAAAAATTGAATCGAATCGAAATAAACGTTTTTTCAATATTTAAATTGAAACCGATTGGTTAAAAAACTGAAAAAATCGAAACCGTTTTTTTTCGGTTCGGTTCGATTTTTTTAACGGTTCGAGTTTTTCGGTTCAGTTTATCGGTTTTTCAATGAAAAAATCATTTGAAACTATAAATTTTTTTTAAAAAATTGCCTATTCGGTTCAATATAGAACAAATAGGTTTCATATGAAAAACCCGAATCGAACCGAATCAAAAGAATGAAGACTTTAAACCAAACCGTATAATGCCAAACCGAACCAAACCGTTTTACTCGGTTCGTGTCGGTTTTTCGATTTTATCGGTTTCGTTGGTCAGCCCTAAGTGGGAGTATGTATAAGGTTGCTATTTTAATAGTATAATCAAATCTTAATTGTTATAATATCATTCTTTTTAATTTTTTTAATTAAATATTATTTTGTCAATTAAAAGTAAAAATTATATTCGAATTAGATTCAATTTTTATCTTAAATTTCGGATCATATCCTAATTCGGTTAAAACTTCTTTAAATCTATATTAGATTAAGTATCAAATGAATAATATAATTCTCAAATCATATTCATCTTAACTTAAAATCCGATCTAACCTAACTCATTATCAAACAGTATGTATGTATGTATATATATATGTATGTATGTATAGACAGAGAGGAGTGGAGTTTAAGGTTGCTGATATTATCTAATCACCGAGATATACGAGGCAAAATCGATAATTTATCTATTTATTTATATTATTAAATGAAAAATATATAGTTTTAAATACATTATCTATTTATAATAAGTTGAAGCAAACCGGAGAAATCATGATCGTTGAATCCAGCAGCGAATTGTTCTCGATAGAGTACACGTGGCGCATCTCGTTTACTTGCCTTTTTTTAATCTTTAGCCTTCCATGCATGTACTTCTCAATGAGAAATAGTCATGGTTTTTTGCTTTGATTGTTCTTCTCCTAGACCTGTTCATCGCCATCATTAGCATTAGCGACCCATCATCTCTTTCCTTTTGATATTCTTCAGTTCCAAAAATGAAAAACCCTATTTTTTAATTTTACTTTTAATCCGTTTCGACAATCAAGAGTGATAAAAAGAATTGAATTTGGATCTCTTCGTTGTACTTAAAACGACGAACTGTCACATCACAGCTCTTGGGTATTGTCTTATCATCTCCATTGTTATGATCTGTTTTTATTTTCTCGATCTGTAATTGTTTATCTTCTCTGCTTCTTGTTTACAGCAAGGAAAAATGGAGTATTCTTTTGAAGATTCGAGGTAAGGAATGAGCTACTGATCTTGTCTTCTTTACTGGGTTTTTGTTTTTCTTTCTTTTCTGTTCCGTCTGCTTCGTTGATTCATTGATGGAACAAAGCCAAGAAAAGAGGTTCGTTTGCAAATTTTGCAACAAAAGGTTCCCTTGTGGGAAATCATTAGGTGGTCACATAAGAACTCATATGAACAACGAGAATTCTGCAGAAACTGAGGAAGAATCGGCTGAGTTCCCCTTGAACAAGCTCAAGAGATTTGCTGGTTTGAGGGAAAATCCCAGGAAAACCAAGAGGTTCTCGGATTCGAGCAATGGCTCTTCGTTTAAAGGGATGATTTGTAAAGAATGTGGTAAGGGTTTTAGATCCATGAAAGCTCTTTGCGGTCACATGTCCTGCCATTCCGACAAGGAGAGAGCTTATCATTTCGGCAACGGCGACAAACATAAGCTGATTATAGATAGTCAATCCGACACCGAGACGTCGACTCCGAGTCGGAGGCGATCGAAGAGGGTTAAGTATAAGACGATAGGTGTTCAGTCGAATAATTCGGACAATTTGGGGAATGGTTCTTCATCTGTTTCGGAGATAGTGCAAGAGCAGGAGGAGGTGGCGATGTGTTTGATGATGTTGTCGAGGGATTCCTGTTGTAAGAAAGGTCCAAATTCGGTTGCCGATTCTTCGGACAACAACTTGCTCTCGTTGGAAGATAAATCATCGTCGATCGATGTGAGGATCACCGTTAAGAATGCCATGAAATGTGTTTCCAGCAAGAACAAGTTGAAGCAATCTGCTGAAACTTGTTATTCTTCAGAGAATTCTGATTCAGGGTATTTCAGAAATGGACCGAAGAAGGTGGAATCGGACGATTCCGTAGATGAGTTTCGCGATAACTTCGAGTCCAAGAAACCTAAAATGGCGTCTGGAACAGGGTTTAAAAGCAAATTCAAGTATGATTTAAGAAGAAATGGAAATAATGTTTATTACAGTCCTCAAAAGGGAGGCAAATACGAGTGCTTAACCTGTAACAAGACCTTTGATTCACATAGGGCCCTAGGAGGACACCGAGCTAGCCATAAGAAGGCGAAAGACTGCACAGAGTCGATACACGAGAGTCGTGAAAATAGCTTAGCCAGCGATTCGTTTACGGCTCCGATTAGTCATAACAAAGTTACCAAGTCTAAGAGCCTTGGTGTTGCTAAAGGTTCATCCAGCAATGCCGAGAAAATATCGGGTTCAAAGAAGAACAAGGGCCACGAGTGTCCATTTTGCTTCAGGGTTTTCAAGTCTGGCCAAGCCTTGGGAGGTCATAAAAGGTCGCATTTCGTCGGAGGAGGCTCGGATGACAGAACATTGGTGATCAAACAAGACTCAACCGAGATTCCGGCTCTAATTGACCTAAACCTTCCTGCTCCGGTCGAGGAAGATGCAGCAGGGAATGCTGCTGGATTCATGGCTTGGTAGACTCGAAACACGACTTGGGGTCACCGGCCGCCTGTATCGGTGTCCGACCGATGGTTCTGCACCCGGATTAAGTCTCGGCACGTGACACTTGCAATCTGGGTTTGATTTTTTCTAAGGGAACAAACTTTTGGGCATAGGTTCCTCATGATGCAAGAGGTTTCAGAGAGCATAGCCGAGTGAATTTACCCCCCCCCCCAACATATTCTCTTGCTTCAAACTTGTTTTCATTTTACTACAAGGTAAATTCCATCATATGCAAGTTTAAACATAAAATCTCAGTAAATATATATATATATATATATATATATATATATATATATATATATATATATATATATATATATAACGTAGATATTATGTTGATAATGATTTTAAGCAATATCAAAGATTTGAATCCTGGTGTTTGTGAATATACTGGCTTGGGAGAGTCGTGCTATCTTGCAGTATCTGATCTAGATTAATCGGCCAATAGATTTGATACCAATAATTAATTAAAAAATATTCAGATGCATAGATTAGAAGTCATGGGTTGAGATTAGATAAATGTGGGCATAGTATTGTGAACTGATCAGAAGCAATAGCCATTATAAGCTGAGTTTGTGTTATTATACGAAATTGTGTTAAACTGGAAAATTACCCACTTCCATCTGCATTAAAAGAAACGCCTTGCGTGCTTGCTCTTCAGTCTGTATTAATCAATAACAGGCCTGTAGATATTACCATTATTATTTTTTGTACTCTTAGTGAGAAAAACATAAAAGGTAACAGCAAACCCCATATATAATCTAAATTCCTAGGCATGTACACACCGGTGTATTTATATATTATTAACTAAATAAATGATTTTTTTGATAAAAAAATATTTTTTTAAAAAATCGAATTTGAACAATTAAACTTATTAAGAACACATTGTCAACAAATTAAAAAAATTTCTAAATAAATATTATCTTTTTAACCGCATCATATATATATATGAATTGTTCGTCCAGTTCAACTGGTAGAGCGCAAGCAAGATAATTATCATTTTGTCATGACTATTGAATACTTTTCTATTTTAGTTTTCCTTCTATTTTTACTGCAACTTCTACAGTACGGCACTCTTAATATATAATTAAAAAGTTATTATAGGTTTTGTTGTTATTTAAATAATAAAATCGATAAAATATTTATTTAAAATATTATTATTTATACTTAAAACATCAATATTTTTTAATATTTACAGTAAAGTATCTAACAATATCAAACCGATAGAAAAAATAACAAAATCGATAAAACGTATAATAATAATAAAATCGATAAAATAATAATAATTTCTATAATTTTACCAATTTTATTATTTAAATAATAATAAAACTAAATAATATATTTTTAATAGTATATTAAGAGTTATTTCTCACTTTTACTCTTTTAGTCGCCTCAACAAAGACCTTATTTCCTTTTTCTTTTTTTTGGCTTTTGTCGGCAAATTGTCACGTGCTTTTTGTTTTTTCACCACATGATATAAAACCGAAAGTTCTATAGTTCATCTTAGCATGATCGGATTAAGGTTGGATTTTTATCAGTTTCACTTGAAAATATGAATCTTTCATTAGAATTTGATTATATCCGAAAATTATATATTTTCTATCTGTTTCGATTCTATTTGACCTAAAAGATATATTTTCTAATCGATTTTGACTCGATTCAAATTTTTAGAGTATAAATCTGACCCGACTAGATATAAAATAAAGACTTAATTAAAAATAATATATTTTAAAAAAAATTACATTATTATCTCTTGGTCGGGTCGTTTTTCCATCCTCCACTTGAACTCGACCCGATCTGACCTCTCCCCTTAAAAATTCTAAACCAAATCCAATTTTTTTTTATAAAAAAATCGATCTTATCGAATCAAATTGAGTCTAAACCCTTTGATTTCGGGTTAAATTATCATCTCTACATATGATTAAACGCAATTTAATCCTCCACCGTGAACATTTTATTCAGTTGAGCATTTAGTTCTGAAAGTAATACTAAGATTGAATGTTAAAAGATGTTAATATACTGTATTTTGAAGTGACTAGAGAAGAGTAATTCAGTGATTATCATATTCATCATAGATTAAATTGGATGCTCTTGTCTGCTCTAATCCGATTTGATTAGTCTTAAAAGTTTTAGATAATATTTTATATTATATTAATTTTTCACAGAGACTAGATGATTACATGTTGTGAACTCTTACATGATTAAGATATTTTAATAAAGATGTAAGAAAAGTAAAAACATTTGGTAAATATTCTTGGGCCTCAGTAATTTAAAAAATCTTATATTACAGCTCTAATCCAGTTATATATATATATATATATTAAAAAAATTATAGGGTCGGTATACACAGGGCCGTGATAGGGTTTTCGAGGGTCATGTACAAATTCTTATAAAAGGGCTCCTATTTTTTTTAGATATATTTGATTTCGGGGAAACAATAGTGGCGTTTTTTGATAAACGCCGCGATAGATCTATCTATAATGGCGGTTATCAATAAAGCCGCAATAATAGTGACATTTTTAAAAAAACGTCGTAATAGATCCATCTATAGTGGCGTTTATTAAATAAGCGCCACTATATATATTTTTTTTTGAGGCCTCATTTTTTTAAGGCCCTGCGCGTTCGCGTCACCCTAGCCACGGCCCTAGGTATACAATGAATGCAGAGAAACCCTAAAAGTGGACTCTTTCCAGGTCAAGCATAGTAACTACAATACTGCCAGCAATTTAAACCAAATAGATTCAATATAATATGTGTTAGTACGACACATAATGGTAAACTATACTTTCCATCACTCAACGATATTTAATGTTGCTCTTATTTCCATATTTTAACTTCAATTTTTTAATTTAATTATTTAATTTTTAAATTATTAACATTTTAACCACTTAACTATTAATTATCAATTTATGATATTATAACAGGGTAAGATCTTTAAACTTTATTTTAAATTTGTGAAAATTCTCCTAAAATCTTCCCCTAATTTTTTAGCCCAGTTTTTTAGATTCCCTTTAGTTTTTTTCTTTTATGTTAGAGTATTTTCTTCCTAATCTCAACAGTAAAAAAAGAGAAGAGAACGGTAATATATCTTGATTCCATGTTAGTTAGATAATAAAAAATACATACTAGAGTGTTAAAAAAATATGAAACGAATAAGTCGAGGTCTAAAGTGATTGATCGATGAAAACAACTGGAATACAACTTTACCAATGGCAAAGGAACATCTAAAACGTAATCTAAATGATTCTACAGGTACTTAAGAATATTTTCACAGGCACTAAAGTTGCAATAATCAATCAATCTTTTCACAAGCACTAAAGTTGATTTAATCAATCAAAACCCATGTCTAGAAAGGCCTTTCCAAATTCCTGATAAACATAAGAAAGCCGGCAACATCAAACGCCCTAAGAACAATAGCCGATAAAATTATGCACCAGAGTCCAGACGTTATTCTTGATGTGGAAACAAGCGAAGAAATCACTAGGATGACTGGCCTACCACATCACTGTAGATACCAGTATATCGATAAACATTTAGGATCAATTCTATCCTATTTATTAGTACTCCGATACAGTTCTGTTCCAATAGATTAAGACTGACCAATCAAAGAGCTTTCTATATCTCATGCTTGTGGGGTTGAATATCAAAACATTAATCACAGTGGTCCACTAGCTAGTATAGCTAAGAAGGTCTACACATGTGAAAGCCTCATCCATCATGGCTATGGTAGGTTGAACTACACATCAATAACTAAGCTTTGCATCTTCCTTATAACTTCAATATTTTCCCTTTGGCATCGATCTACTTTGGTACTGATTGTTCCTCCTAATTTGAGTTAAAAAAAATGATACCGCAATCCTCCATTTAAAGCACACATATTCAAATGGACAACCACATTAATTAACTTGATTTAATCCAAGGAAGATGTGCATACCATATTTTCTTTCTGATCATCTGTTACGCATTCCGGGAGGGACGATATCACTGAGTAACCCTTCATCTGTCGGGGACTTTGAGGCGGTGGGTTTGGGCACTGGTCGAGATTCTCCTACGTCAGTGGGTGCTTCGTGTGCCTTTGACTGTGATCGTGTTATGCTCGGAGGAATTTCCCTATGTAACTGTAGCCCTGGATTATAAAATTGTGAGACTGCCGGTGTCAATTGACCACCAAAGGCAGCTTCATGGCTGATGAGTCCCCCTCTGGGGAATGCTACAGTGTGATGACAGTGTTGACCTTCATATGTAGTAATGACAATGGTAGGATCTTCGGAAGAGCGTTCCACCCTCTTCTTCACTGTGCATTTGTTGTTTGTACAGCGATAATAGCTCCTGCGAGAGCCAATATATGGCTTAAATTTGCAATACAATCTGGAAGTTTTACTTCCATTAATGATTTTAAGCATGAATTCATCATTTGACTACGCTCTAACATAATGATTCTATTGAGGGTTTTTGCTACATGATAAAAGAAATCTCAACTGAACCATAAGGGGAGTGTTGAAAGATTTATGTCAATTAAACTAATACAAATTTCAGATTCGGTTCCAAACAACCCTACCCCTTCCCTTATTAAGGACTTTGCTTTATAAATTTGATCACTTTAGATAATGCAAAGTAAAGCTTTTTCTCACATAAATATGGCTGAACAAAATATTTATGCAGTAAAAAATTCATACTAGTGCTTTTAAGAAAATAGAGAATCAATTTTTAAGATGTTAAACGAGGATGGGGCTGGAATTAAACATTGGGATCAATTAGATTATTTTATATAAAAAGAATAAAGATCTAAAAATTAAAAAAGATTTTTTATTTAATTAATATTTAAAATAAAAAGATCTAAAGTACCATTATATAAAAAATTTAGGGTCACAGTCCCAAATCCTTGATGGCTTCGTCCTAGGTGCTAAAAATGGCATACTTATGAACTAATTAAAAACCAAATTTAACGTTGTTGAATATACTCTACTTTATAATAACCCTTTGATTTCATTTTTCCACCCTTTTTTCAATATACTGATAGAAACTACCCCTATGACAAAGAGAAGAGAACTGATTAATACACAAAATTATTATATGGAAAATTTACCATATGTTTCAGCATATTGTTAATTTTTTAACAGAAATATGGCACTGAATCAGTTCTAAAAGTGGGTAAAATGTCAG